TCTTGAAGGCAGTATATTGTTGCTTGGTGATATTTTATCCATTTTGCCATTGTATGTCTTTTCAGTGGTGCATTTAGTCCATTCACATTCAGGCTAATTATTGAAATGCGAGAGTTCGTCCCTATCATAGAGTTCTTATAGAGTTGTTGTTCTTCTACTTGTTTTGTTTTGTTTTTTTTTTTTGTCTTTCTTTTGGTTTTGGGATTGGTTCGTGTATATTTTATTCTTTTCCCTGTACTCTTGTGAAGAAGGTTGTTCTTTTTTCCTTTTCTTCTGTGTTTAGTACTTTCTTAACTGCTTCATGTAGAGGTGGTTTGGTGGCAGCATAAGTTCTTAGGGATTGGATATCTGGGAAAGACTTTAATTCTCCCTCACTGATGAAGCTTAGCTCGGCAGGGTAGGTGATTCTTGGTTGAAATTGTTTATCTTTTAGGACTTTGAAGATAGGACTCCAAGCTCTCCTAGCCTGCAGGGTTTCTGTAGATAAATCTGCTGCTATTTTGATTGGTCTTCCATGGTAGGTGATCTGACCTTTTTCTCTTGCTGCCTTTAGGATTTTTTCTTTTATGCCTACTTTGTTTAGGTGAATTATTATGTGTCTAGGAGTTGGTCTTCTCATTTGTTGTCTTGCAGGGGTTCTCTGAATATCTTGTGTTTGAATTTTTGCATCACCGTTTAGATAATGGAGGTTTTCTTGAATGATCTCATGGAAAGTTTGTTCCAATGTGGTCTCTGTCTCTCTTTCTGCCTCAGGGAGTCCGACTTCTCTTAGGTTAAGCCTCTTGAGGTAATCGCTCATCTCTTGAAGGTTCTGTTCTGTCTTTTTGAGCTTATTTTCTGTGTTTTTAAGAGTTTGGGTTATTTCTATATTTTGGTCCTCAAGCTCTGAGATTCTGTCTTCTGCTTGGGTAATTCTGCTTTCCATGCTTATCAGTTTTTTATTTATTTAATTCACAGTATTCTTTATTACTGTTATCTCAGATATCAGCTCCTTCCTAGTTTCCTCTTGTGTCTCCTCAATTCTTTTTCATCTCTCCATTATTGTCTTGATATCTATGTTTGTAGTTTGAGACCCTTCATTCTGGGGGCTTTTCATTGTTTGCATTCCAAAGTCAGTTTTTCAGTGTCTGCCCTCCCAGGGGTCTGGGAGAGACCCATACTCTTCTTTTGGTTTTTCTTCATT